TTTCCCTTACAACCAATCCCCCGTTGCCCACAGCCCCTGCACCTCCTCTCTGGCTGTTGCAACCTGGTTCCCCCCCAGATCCCCCAGCCCCTGCCCTTCTCCTGCCTCTCAGCTTCCCGTCTGCCATTTACAACATCTCTCTTCTCTATTCCCTCAAGCAATATTCTGCTCTCTGGGCAAAAGCAGCACATACAGGACTATTTCTATACAAGAGTATCTCTACAGTCTAGAGCTATGTGTGTGCATGCAAGTCGGTTGGCTGCTAGGAAGGGAAGGGCAATCAAATTACTTCGCAGGCTATGTGCTTTGCAAACCTGCAAAGGGACATGGTATTTGGAAATACCTTGCTGATCTACCAAAATGTATTGAAATTTGCCAAATGTTTCTAAAGTCTGTAATTCTGATTCACTGGTGCTTCAGAGCCCTCTATGCCTGAAGACCGTTCACCCCATGACAGAGCTACGTGAGTGTGATGCAGAACCAATGAATCCAAACCAAGGTCAAATGCCAAGCCTCAGTGATCAAAATTTAGTATGAATCAGGGAAGATAAATTAGACTTACTGCTTATCTTGCTTTCTCTGACCAAGGTGGGGCTATATGTGGCTATTCATACTAAAATGTCCACATTTTTCTATTTTAAAAAGAAGACAATAAACTGTTGTTAAAAGAAAAAAAGAAGGAAATGTGTCTAAGCTGAGTGGTATTTCCTGACTGGACATTTACTAATTTACTGTTTAATGATGATTAATGTGATCTTGACAGAGTCAGTTACAGATATGTAATTTTTTTTTTGATTCACTGTTAGATAAAGAAAAATGCTCTGTTGTGCAGAATTTGTGTGCATAAGCGGATCACTCGACAGGTAATATGCTTCAAAGATAGACCAATTACCTCTTTAAAAAGTTAGTGGCTAGTGTTCTCACTATACTCAAGGTCTGCCATCTTATTTCCTAGATGCAGGTACATACAAAGTTAAACACTCTTAACTTTTCCTAAACAAGTCACCACTTCTGAAAGCTTGGTTAAAATTATTTTCCCTCTCCTGAAAGTTCTGATGCCCAGCAGATATATGAAAAAATCAATACACCACAGCAGACCGCGTTATTCCACCCATACGTATGGGCCCTACTGACCAGCGGGGGCATTATCCCCTTATCTTAAAAAAACGAGCAGAGATAAACCTGCCTTCCAAACAGAAAAATCTCCCGTATTCTCTAAATCAGATTATCCCTTCAGCTATGAAATTTATGAGGTTTGGTGACCAAGCGCAAATTCTATACTCCTTATGCAACAAATGTGCTTTCAATCCATCTCGGTGCTTGGCTGCACAATGCCACCCATCAACCCTGGGAACCGGGAACCTGCTGAGTCTTTGCATTGAAGGAACTGGAACCATGTCAGCATTAGGTGTTGTCATCAAGGTTTGTAAGTGTTGGCTGTGACAAACTCTTCTGAGGAAAGTTTCCAGAGATCATGTGCCAGCAGAGCCTTGAAGTAAGTGTAAAGGTCACTGCTACTCAGTCAGGGGCTGTGAATTGCTATGTGCTCACTTATCAGTCACATAGTCAGTGCGGGGCAATACCCTGATAGCGCAGCGGTATCGCAGCTCCCCATGCACAGCTCTGCACGCTGCCAGGGTTACTGGGAATTGATAGCATGATATTGCAGCATCTGCAAATCAGGCTTGTGCCTCAGGAGGCCTGACCCAGCCCAGCCATCCCGTGCCTTTTTCCTCTGCCTCCACTCCCTTCCTTCTTGGCTTCGCAGTGCTGCTTGTGTGAGCCACCTTGCTCCGGCAGCGGGGAAGGGCTGGAGGCAAGCTGTGCTTGCATCCTGCTCCTCAGCAAAGTAGTGTTTCCTGAGCAGAGCTGCCACGCTGTGGGGGCTGTGAGAGTACCGTACCCTCAGTGAGAAAGGACATGAGGAGAGATGTGCAGCAAGACCCCAGACTTCAGGGCAGGGGTCCTTACACTTGGTACAGTGCCCCCTTACACTGCAGCATCTCTGTGAGTTGGCATCTCGGCAGACAAGTCTTAGGCCCTCGATAAGCTCAGGCTGGTAGTGGAAGGGGAGTTAGAGAGGAAAAGAGAGATG